AAATAAACAATATAACAAATAATTATATATTTATCAAATGAATATAATATTTTAATAACTATTATAACTATTCTTTTTAATATTCTAGCATTTTATTTAGAATATAGCCATTATGATTTCTGGAAAATATAAATAGCATCCTAAACATCCTCATAAACATTAGGGGGCGGTTTCCCAGACAGGGTTTAAATTAAGTCTGGAGTAGGCTTAATCTAGAGTAGTTAATCATGGCTTTAAAAATGGCTTTCTGAAACACAGATTAAATACTCCTGGACTATTGAGTCCTGAACTAAAATAAACTAGATTAATTTAAAACCAGCTGTGCTGATCTGAATGAACATGACAGAGGTTGCCTGTAAAACATGGAATGAATCAAGAAAAGCTTAGAATGGTGTGGAACTGAGAAGCAAATCTAAGGAAAACAAAGTCAGCAGAAAAAAGACTGCAATCAAACATAAAAAAAAAAAAACGTACTATTGACTGAACAAGAGGAAAGCTTTTTTTTAAAGCAAGCAAAATAAACTGCACACATTAGGTGTGGAATAAAAGAAAAGGAATGCCTGGAAATCTGTTTGGAATGAATTCTTGCATAAATTCATTTTTTATTATTATTGTTTATTATGTTATACATAACGCAGCTGTGAGAGAGAGAGAGAGAGAGAGTCAGAATTATTGGCACCCTAAGTACATATGATCAAAGAAGATTGTGAAAATAAATCTGAATTTTTTTATCCTTTTGATATTTAAAAAAAAAAGTAAATAAAAATGCATAAAAAAAAAAACAAAAGTAAAAAATAAATAAAAAAAAAAATCGAACTTTTCAACAAAATCACATAAGGAAAAATTTTCTCTAATACACAATGGCCACAATTATTTGTACCCCTAGAAATTATCAAAATCAACACAAAAATGGGCCACTGAGCACAAAAGCAAGGTTCTGCCATGCTCATCCCAGTCCTCTGGTCTGAACCCTATAGAAAACTGAAGTGTATCAGCATGGAGCTGGGAAACTGAAGGATCTGGAGAGATACTGTATAGAATAATGCTCTCTGATCTATTGTCAGATGTTCTCCAAACTCATCAGGCATTATAGGAGAGACTCAGAGCTGTTATCCTGGGAAAAGGACGTTGCAAAAAGTATTGAATAAAAGGGTGCCATAGATAAACATTTCATTGAGATTTCCCTTCCCTACCATTTTACTTCAATGAATGTTTAGGGTTTTGAGTGTGTGTGTGATAAAAAATCAAAATGATTATAACAGTGCAGATTTATTTTCACAGGCTTCTTTGATCATATTTACCATTTTTTGATATATAAAGATTGAAAACATACGTAAATCTGAAGTTAAACCTGCCTCATAGGTTTAATTTAACCATCAATTTAGTCCTGAAGTAGCTCTAGTCTTCCTTCAGGAAATCAGCCTATTAAATTCTGGACTAGACTAAGTCTAAGACTATTTAAAACCATCACAGAGAGAGCAGATTTCTGTGAATCTGGTTTAAAGGGCCATTTTAATTTAGGACTAGGCTAAATCTCTGTCCAGGAAACCGCCCTAGAAGCTCAAGAATAAATGATCTGTTGTCTCTATATACACTTGATATTGTTTACCTGGTTAGTCACGTGCTATTGTGTCCATGTATGCATGCAAAGGACAAAAGTCAAAGGATATTTAGCCTAACACCATGTCAGACTAATAATACTTGAATGTCATGACGCCCCCATCTGGATGAGCGCGGAAGCGCCGCGATGACGTCACACGTCCAAACGCTGCAGCAAATGCAGCATCTGCGTAAAAAAAGCCCCGTCATGAAATTGTTTCCACTATAACGATGACGAGACACTGGAAATGCAGTTAGAATAGGAATGAACACAAATGTATCCACCCAAAGTGTTTATCTTACATTATATATTTACGTTTATGCATTTGGCATTTTATACAGAATGAAAGAGAAAACTAGTTGCAGGATTCTTAATTCGAAATATTATTATATTACATTACATTATATATTATATTATATATTATATGATATATATTATATGAGACATTTCCCTTATCAAAAATCCTTGTCCAAAAATATGATGCAATTTCTTAGGATGAAAGTTTTTATTTATTTGTTAATTTATTTATTTATTATCATTATTATTATTATTATTATTATTATTACAAAAGTCGTAACTAAAACAAAGATTATTGGAGTAGGTTTTACAAGAAAATATTATTTCGGTCTTTCAACTTCAAAATTTCACGTTTAATTAATGTGTAACTTGCCATTTTTACTAATTGTGATAATTACTAGCGATTTTTGAGTGAAAAATGTTTCTACACCATTTATTTCAGTGTATGATTCAAACAAGAATGATTGATCAAAATATAAAAACTTTTTCATCTTAACATTTTCTATTAACTCTAAAGACAAAACAACTTGAAATTATTCTTGCAGTGTCTATAAAATGGAAGTCCTTTAAAATGTATAAATTATTCAGTAATCAAAAAGAAATTCATTTGTGAATACCCTTGTTATTATGACAATTTCTGTTAGCCTAGAATTATTATTATTATTTTTTTTTTTAAATCGATGTCAGTGATTAGTGATATTTCAATATTTATTATTATTATTTACACATTTACATTTAGTCATTTTGCAGATGCTTTATGAAAATGTTCTGGAAAGTGATTTTGAGCCTCTCTGTGATGGTACCATGAGGCGTCGCTCACTAGCGCATCTCAGACTTCTGGATTAGTAGTAGTGAGTGGAAGGAGGCAGATGCTGAGCCTGATAGGAGAAGCCATGTGCCTGTATGATGGGACCCAGTGATGTAGTGTATATGGAGAAGAGGAGGGGTCCAAGAACTGATCCCTGAGGAACCCCTCACCTGACTGGTTAACGTCCAGTTTGTTGTTCTGTGAAAGAAACAATGATACCTGATTGAAAACAACTCGTTCGAGGGTTTTCGCTATGAATGGAAGGAGGTCTGTAGCTAAGTGAAGTGTTTAATGTAGGTTTTTTGAGCAGTGGGGTTACCCGAGCCTGCTTGAATGCAGTGGGGAAGGTGTCTGTGAGGAGAGATGTGTGTGGAGGAGGTGTGAGGGGATTGGGTCTAGAGGGCTGGTTGTAGGATGGCTGGAGAGGAGAAGTTTCCATACTTCTGCCTCAGTGAGGGGACAGAAGGAGAAGATGGGAGCTTTAGCAGTGGGTGTGGTTGGTTTGAGATCCTGTGTGTGTGGGGCTGAGAACTGACTACTGATTGTGCTAGTTTTGTCTGTGAAGAATATGGCGAAATCATCAGCTGGTGTAGAAGTGGAGGGGGACAGAGGAGAGAACTGAATGTTTTGAAGAGATTAAGTGTGTCTGGAGAGCTGTTGATCTTGTTGTGTATGAGATATATTCTCATTTTAATCAATGCAGACGTCTCCCATATATCTGAAATGTCCAGCCGTGTTCTATTCAAATATGTATTGTATAATAAACCTGTAATACTTCGATCTGCTGTACGTAGGCGCAGTTCTGCATGCGCGCGTGCGGGGGACGGAGAGAAACTCCAGCGTCTCCTCGGCGTGACGTCACGCCGCGAGCTGTTCCCGCGCCGCTGCTGCTGCTGAAGCAAAGATGGCAGTTAGCTAGACGCACAAATGTAGGATGGCTGGAGAGGAGAAGTTTCCATACTTCTGCCTCAGTGAGGGGACAGAAGGAGAAGATGGGAGCTTTAGCAGTGGGTGTGGTTGGTTTGAGATCCTGTGTGTGTGGGGCTGAGAACTGACTACTGATTGTGCTAGTTTTGTCTGTGAAGAATATGGCGAAATCATCAGCTGGTGTAGAAGTGGAGGGGGACAGAGGAGAGAACTGAATGTTTTGAAGAGATTAAGTGTGTCTGGAGAGCTGTTGATCTTGTTGTGTATGAGATATATTCTCATTTTAATAAATGCAGACGTCTCCCATATATCTGAAATGTCCAGCCGTGTTCTATTCAAATATGTATTGTATAATAAACCTGCAATACTTCGATCTGCTGTACGTAGGCGCAGTTCTGCATGCGCGCGTGCGGGGGACGGAGAGAAACTCCAGCGTCTCCTCGGCGTGACGTCACGCCGCGAGCTGTTCCCGCGCCGCTGCTGCTGCTGAAGCAAAGATGGCAGTTAGCTAGACGCACAAACGGCCGGTGAACTGAGGGGGAAAGTGCTTTATGTGAGGATTTTCTGTGAGCTCGTCTGTTTATTCGCGCGTTTATTGTTCAGAAGCTGCAGTTATGGCTGTGTGTTGAATCTAGTCACAGCGCGTTAACGGACTGTCCCGTTTTGGCGGAGGATTGACGCGACGCGACGCGGCGCGATGTCTCTGCTCTGCGTCGGGGGTGAGTAACAGTCATACATTCGCCCTTTGTTGGGACATAATTTGAATAACACAGAATCCCTGTTAAAAAGTACCATATGAGACGAATGAATCATTACCACACTACCTTACCATGGTACTTTTTGCTAGTGATCTTGATTACAAATCCATACGTTAGCTTTTTGACATGTACCATGGTATAAATCTCTATTTAACCGTATTCCTCACTGTTGCAGTACCATGGGACTTTAATATGAACCATGAAATTATGGTATTTAACAGTTACAAGGGATATTTC